GCTGATGACCCCCGAGTTTGATCACTTAGCATCATAAAACTATAAATTCTAGAATCCTAGGTTAGGTAGCCCTAGCAGACCTCAATACAGTCTTCCACTAACTGCAATTAGAATGTTAAGGGACAGGCTAGTTCATCCCCCATAAAGGCAGTCCAGTATTCAGCCTTGTTAGATATAGCTCTACCTACTGGGTCTGCACCATTGATACGACTCTTATTTCTGCCTTAGTCTTATTTTCACAAAGCTAAATACATGAGGTTTCCACTAGGTTTCTTTAGTTATTTATCATTTAACAATCTAATTACCCTCCTCAGTTCTCTCTCTCTCTCTCTCTCTCTCTCTCTCTCTCTCTCGATCTCCTAAAATATAAAATATAACATTTTAAATTGGCCCACATAGCCCAACCGTTCTCTGATAAATGCAAAAAGTGCTGTAATTGCCTGTTAGAGACACTATAGCTCTATCAACACAGCATGTGTCCTGTCCATTTGTGATTCTATTAACTTTCTTATCACCTGCAACATCACATGGAATTCTACCAAACAGGTCCTAGTTCCTACAATTACAATCAAGTTTTGGAACGTGAGGATTAGATTTTATCTTGCCCAATGTTGTGCTCTTCTATTAGATTGCCAAAACTCTTATCACCAGTGAGAACATCAGCTGCCACACCTGCACACCCTGCCAGGTTTGTGCCATCTACCTTCTGTGTCTTCATCAAAGTCATTGATAAAAGATAGCAAAGAGAGCTAAGGAGACAGCTCAGCTGGTAAACTGTTTGCTGTGCAAGTATGAGGACCTGAGTTTGATCCCCAGACACATAAGAAAGCTGGGTGTGATGACACACTCTTGTAACCCCAGCACTGCGGAGGCAGAGACAGGCCGTTCTCTGGGGCTATGTGGTGAACCACTATAGCTGCATTGGTGAGCTCCAGGTCATTGAAAGACCGTGTCTCAGAAAACAAGGTGGATGTCTCCTAACAAACACCACTTGAAGTTGAGCTCTGGCCTCCACACTTGCACATACACATGAACATGCACACACAAGCACTCATGTATGCACATACACACACAGAGAGAGAGAACAGAATAGCAATTCAGTTAACTGGTATTCATCCAAGCACCTACCTATATAATGCACTCAGGACAGAAACAGGATATGAACTATATTGCCCCAGGACAGATGCTAGAATTGTTTGCTTTAGTATGAAGTGGGCATCCTTTCCTTAACAACTTTATTCACCTCGTTGGGTGCATATTGATTACTTGCTCTTCTCTTGATACCATGATGTTATGTTAAGAAAACAAAGTAATTAAAATCCATAATCCTCCCTTGGTGTTTGTCTAGTCCTTAGTGAGGCAGGCTTTGGCACACAAAACATTTTATGATATAAGAAACACAAACTTGTGTTATCGACATTAAATGTTACACACAGTATATTTGGGTCTGCTTAAGGCTCAGTCACTTCATTTAAAACTGCAAAACCCATCTTCAACTCATAGGGTTGAGGGGAACAGCTCTAAGGTCAGAGGTACCCTAGAGCCACTCCCTTCCCATCACTACTAGTAGCACCAATATGTGGAAAAGGAAGAACCATTTCTTAAGTAATTCTACTCTTCTTTGGCTCTAATCGGATGACACTACAACATTCACTTGTTTGAGTCAGAAATTGTTTGGTTGTGCATCCCATCTGGAGTGCAAGCACCCTTGATCTTGCTACACAGTAAAATGAATGAATTCTAATTCTTTTTCTAAAGCTATGGAATGAAATGGTCTGAGTTGAGCATTTGAAAGCAACGATTGTGTCTTCATTTGGTCTTTACTTTTCTAGCCCACGTTTCCACAATTTCTTCACTAGACAAGATTTGCAATCTCTCTACCCTGAAACCATTCTTGCTATTCCTACTATGGCTATATCTGGGCACATAGCACACATACCAGATATGACCCTGAATGATAAAAGAATGGATGAGATAGAAAGCTCCAGTTGGGCAATATCAGCCTGAAGGAGTCATGCTCACAACTGAACATATTGCTGAAGATGTGTTCAGAAGCAGCCCACAGTCCCCTTGCTCTCAATGTTATTGTTCTATTAAGTTTGCTTAGATTCATTTTTTTTCACTCAGGGATAGGACAACAAATAGATGCCTCATTTTTAATCAATAAAAATCCCTTAAGTCCTTAAAACAGAATGAGGGAGCTGGAGAGATGACTCAGTGGTTAAGAGCACTGGCTACTCTTGCAGAGGACCTGAGTGTGATGCCCAGCACCAATGTGGTGGCTGACAGCCAACCATAACTCCAGCTCCAGGGGATCCAACATCCTCTTCTGACCTCTACGGGCATTGCATGACATGGGTGCACACACACCTGTAAGCAATACACTCATACACATAAAATAAAAATAATAAACAATAAAATCATTAAAACAAAACTAGATAACTCAGCAATCAAGCCCCATATAACTGTATATAAGGAAAAATTAGACCCCAGTGTTTATTTCAAGTGAGAAAGACTGGAACATCCCTCTGATGTACATTTCTAGGGTCGTGCCTGTGTTCCAAATTCATGGTACCACAGCCTTTTTCAAACTCTAGAAATCTGAAGATTTTGCATTCTTCAGGGAGAGGACCTCAGTGGGTGGGCACAGCAAGAACCTTGAAGGGAAATCATAAGGTGAGCTGGCCTTGGACCAAGTGGCCACCAGGATACCAGTTACCCCAGGAGATATTCAGTATGTGCCAGTGTTCCTAACAATGAGAAACTGGACTTTTGTGACCTAACAGGAAGTAAGACACTGACAGCAGCTGGAGTCCGGCAAGGCTACAACATGGAACGGGAGAGGCTGAGGATCCCGGAGAAGCTGGAAGATGGGCAGAGGGAGGTTAGAGCACAGAGTGGGGAAGGCGGAGGGTCCCTGAGAAGCTGGAAGATAAACGGAGGAAGGTTGAAGGGGGGATACATGTTGAAGGCTGGAGCAGAACTGCAAAGTCACAGGAACACCACCAATTGCATCTCACAGACTCTGTCTCCAGAGAAGACAAACACTGCCCTGTGGGGACTGTCACCTTGGTAAGCCACTCCACGCTCAGTTTAAACAGTTTCCATTCAGTGTCATTTCTCTGACCCAGTGAAATCTACTCTGTAAATTCTTTAAACCTCTGTGTCTTCTACTTTTCTCTTCCCCTGAAGGCTCCATGAGTGTGAAGCTGGGTAGAACAGAAAGAAAAAGAACAAACACACTGTGGCTATATACCATGGAATTCAGTGCAATTTGTTATGCAGCATCCAGTTATGACAACAGCTGATTGATAATAGATGGCTCTGAGCTTCAAAAGAAAGTTCTTGAAATGCACAGAACTGCCTTGATATGGAGCTAGACTGTATCTGTGAGTACTCACCTGAGTCTGAGGCTGCTGGGCTCACCAGGCTGAGCAGCTCCCGCTCCTTCTCATAGTCCCCTTTGCAGAGCAGCTGTCCCTCCTTCAGGACAAACTCATCCCCCTTCTGCAGCTGTCGCTCACAGACACAGCAGCAGAAGCAGCTCAGGTGATACACGCTCTTCTGGGCACGCATCACAAACTCATTGGGTGCGATGGCCTCAAAGCAGCCCCCACATTTGACAGCAAACAGTCTGGAAAGTGGGGAGAAAGAGAGGCAATGAAAGTAAGGTTGGGCCTGGGCCTAGAGCTCCCCTCAGGTCAGTAGCAAAATGACCTTCAAGAGCTGCAAGAGGAATACTTGTACTGGAGCACACTTCAGATTCGGGGTATATAGTGGCTTCTGGTCACTCTAGATCCATGACAACTCAGACTGACTTACAAAAGTCCTAATATTTAGAGAGCTATTATTTTCTTTTTTATTATCTGATGATACCATAATTGCCTTTGTAAAAGCTTTGGCATAAGCACTAAGATAAACATCTAAAACCATCTGTGGGATTCATTCATGATCCTGCTCATTTTACTACTTCCCAAATAAAGAGTTGTTTCTTTTTAAAATAGTACGATGGTGGAGGGAGGAGGACTCTTTCCAAAACATTCTCTGTTTTTCCCTGCATACAAGAGGAGTTGAAAGGTGGAAAAAGGTCAGATGGCCTAATAGAGAAAATGGCGAGAGGGACAGAATGATCAGAATATAAGCGTAAAACTTCATACTGCTCCCCTGTCCACAAAGACAGACACGAGTTGACACAAAGTAGATTTAGAGAGTTGAGGTTAGCTTGCTGTAGGCACAGAAGGATATAAGACAAATCCCCCATTTTATGGAGCTAAGCACACAACTAGAAAGAATACATAAATACAATTTAGGAAATAGGGTATGAGAACAGTACAGGACTGGTAAGATGGCTCAGTGGATAAAGGTGCTTACTGTGTAAGCCTGATGACCTGAGTTTGATCCAAGAAACCCACATAAATGTGGAAGGAAAGAACTAATTCCACAAAGTTGTCCTCTGACCTCCACATGTACACTGTAACACACACATCATGCATACATACACACACAATTATAATAAATATATTTAAAGGAACAATGCAAATCCATAAGTATAAAATATAACAACATAAAGCTACAACATATATAAGGAATTATAGCATTTAATCACTTCACAACCATAAAACTGTACCCATTTGATTCTAAGTCAACACTCACACACCTCATGTTTATCTTGGAAGCTTCCTGAAGAAGGGAAGGGTTTGGAGAAGAATGAAGAGAAAACTAAGGAAGAGTTCCCAAAGAAGCATGACTCACAGATTGGCGCTGGAAACAGGGAAGACATTTCAGCTCTTGAGTAGAGGAAGCCAAGACTTGAAAAGGGGAATGAGGCCACCTCCCAGGTGCCCACAAGCCACCCACAGACAGCCTCTCAGGAAGGGCCTAGTCTGCAGGATTGGAAGGGCATGTGCTATCTGAACTGAAACACAAGCTGTAAGCTACCACGTCCATCTCCTGGCTACAGAAGTCTCTCAGAAATAGCTGTTTTAGTATGCCTCTCCTCTGCCTTCAACCTCAGAAACAGCATAAAGCTTAGGAACTGTCCAAAGGATTGGTGTGACCTTTCCACCACTCACAAACTGTGTCAGGGCTCTAAACCCAGAACTCGAGGTCCCAGAAGTCCTTCCCCTGCTGTCTCCCTTCCACCAGCTGCCCGGTGTGGTTTTGCTGTCTACTGATAAACCTCTGGGCACAGAAGGGCCCCCCTCAATATTACCTTTTAGATGCCATCCTCACTAGATGCCATGTGTTGTATAGATAATCTATCCATTCCATCTCTTAGCCCCAAGTCCCTTGGTCTCTGTTTGCCAACCTGAGCAAACGAATCAACTATTTTCCAGGAGCCAGTCAAAGACCCTTTGTCCCCAGGCCTTGCTTCTCCTCCCATCCCCTGGAATGGACTATTAAACAGACTCAAGGCAAATGCTCCCAGGGAAGTCAACAAGCACTTGAGAAGTGGCAGCAGCAGGTGGTAGCATCTGTGCTTGTCTGACTTCTACCCTGTTAATCCCCTCCTCTTTTTCTTACCCCTTTAATTCTATCCCCGACTCCAGAAATTTCCCCCGTGCTGAAGAAGGGAGGGTTGGAGTGAGTTCAACAAAGAAAGCCCACCATGTTGCCTCAGAAGCAGTAGCAGGGGTGGCAGGAGTTGTCTGGGATCAAATCCTGCAATGATCATAGTCCCTGGGGATTGCAGGCCAGAAGAGGAGATCAGGCCTGCCTCTTTCCATTCTCCCTCTCTGGGTCCAAACCAGGTTAACCTTACCTTAGTCCCTGGTCTTTTGCAACCTTTTCTAACACAGAGCAATTCAAGGAGAAGAGGAGCATGCAGTCTACCACCTGGGTGCCAGATGTGTACACAGCTGTATGAGTTACCACTGTGGACCCAGCTGCCGACTGCACACCTCCCACAAGTTGTTTTCTCTAAGGCTCAGAGAAGCAGAGAAAAGGATTTGTTCAAAAGTCTAGGTCATAATTAAAACACAGCCTGTCTCTTCCTAATGCTCAGGATGCGTCCCCCATGGTTACTTCCCCCTCAGAATGCTAATGAGATTGCACTCTGGGTTCAGAGCCTGGCAGACTGCTGTGCCCAGGAAAGCTGGGCAGTTTCCAGAATCATCAGCTCATCTATACAGACAGGACAGCCTCCAAATTTTCTCACCATCATAAAGTCTCCTATCCCGAAAATCTTCAAGGTGATCCCTTATCTCTTCCTTGCATCTCATTCTCACCCACAGAATGGAAACTGGGACATCTTCCTCCTGGGAAAACATCCAGCACAATGTGGCCCCAGCTACTACACCTTCAGTCCTCTCCTTCTACTGATCACCTTTGGGGGGGCGTAAGGGGGGTAAGTGAGGATATCATGACAAATAAAGCCACCTTGTTCTTAGAGAGCCACAGCGGGAGGCAGGTTCTAAATGAACGACTGCATTTGGGTGTAGCTGGGATATGGACAGAGAAGTAGCCGAGACTGGCATAGCGAAGAAGCCCAAACACTTGGTTTAGACACTGCTCACAGAATCTTTTATCTCTTTTCTTCCATCTCTCCCCCACCTTTCACTGTCTCTCCCCCAGGCAGGGAAGTAGAGACTGGATGCAACTGCACTCCACACCCTGCTTACACCTCTTCTTGAACAGCTAAAAGCTGTAAGAGGCACAGCTGTGAGTCTTGGTGAGCGTCTACCCCACAGCTCTACCTCATCCCAATGGCATGACTTGATGTTCACCACTCTCTCTTGCAGCCTCAGTTTGCTCAGATGATAAAGACAAGGATGGTGCCTCCATGCCTCCGTGAGTAAGGATTAAATGAGGACACAAGCATGGGGCACTTTGTCACCTACAAGGCACAGGTCCTTCTCAGCTGTTTTATTAACCCCGCCTCTGACTTTTACACATGCAAATTTTTGCCCCAAAGGTGGTTCTCCATTCTTGAGTCTCCTGAGCCCCATCCTAAGTGAGCCCTTCCTTCTTACAGAGAGCTCTTCCACTGACTCCCAACTTTGACACAGGCATGACTTCATCTCCAGAGCATGGAACCCTGAGAAATGTGCTCAGTAAGCACCATGGAAACCTGAGAAATGTGCTCAGTAAGCACCCTTTTCCTGATGCTGCCAAGCAGAGGATGTTCCTTAGACCCAGCAATGACCATATCATGTGCCAAGTCCATTCAAGTGGAGCAGTATTTCCTATAACTTCACCTCTGTGCCCTGTGCTTGGTGATACAGGGGAAAGCAAGGAGGAAAAGATAAGTCACCTTGACTCAGGGAAAGCCAGGCTGACCTGAGTTCAAGGGGCTCAAGGGGGCCACGCCTGTCCCCGGGCCTTGTGTTTCTTGTCTTCCATTTCTCTTTTTTAAAAAAAATATTTTATCTATAATTTTTATGTGTATGAGTGTATTCCCTGCATGTATGATGTAAGTGCACCCATGTCATGCAGTGCCCGCAGAGGCCAGAAGAGAGCATCAGATAACCTGGAATGGGAGTTACAGATGGTTGTTAGCCACCGTGTAGGTGCTGGAAATCAAACCTGGGTCCTCTGCAAGAGCTGCCAGGGCTCTTAACCCCTGAGCTATTTCTCCAGACCCTTGTCTTCCATTTCTTAATAGAAAGTACTACCCTAGACCCAAATCATGCCAAGAACTTAGAGGTTGGGGAGGAGTGAGTCTCTATTCTCTGTTTTCTCACTGTACATCTTTCCATCAGAGAAGTCCAATCCATTTGCATCCAAATCCTGGTCTCCAGATAGTGCTTTGACAGGACACTGCTTGGCTATAGTAATTCTTAAAAAAATCTTCCTATACCATATTACTCATATATACACATATATATATACATACATACACACATATAAGACAGTAAAAGCCAAGAGAGCGTGTATGTATACATACATATATATGTATATATATATGTGTGTGTGTATACAATGTGTATGTGTGTTATACATACCAGAAATAAGAACGCATATATTCTAGACTACATATGTAATATAATCTACATATTAATGTAGATTAAGATTATATGTATTATACATTCTACAAAATATAGCCTCTGGAAGATGGTATTTACTCCTGAGACATGTTCCAAACCTACCAAAATAGATAATTTCTTAATTTGTTCTCACTTCTATTTTGTGTTGGTAAGTCTTGTAACCATGGAGACAAGATTGTCTCAAACACAGATACAAAGGCTTGACACGTAAGCACCATTAGGGAACAATTCTGAGGCAACCAACAAAAGACAAAGAACTTCGGAAGCAGGGACACCCTAGTACTACAGGAATTATAGTGCCAAGGTGATGGCACACCAAGACACTAGGTGGCACTTGGAATACGAGTGCCTGCTGTGTGGTCTTGGGAAAAACCACCCCACAATTCTGAACAGCATGTCTCATTGCTGGAACATACATCAGTCCCCCAAACTGTATTACAACAAAGGAAACGGAGTTCATGAAGGACAGGGAAAAGGGAATTCATCTTTATCAAATACCAACCAGGGTCAGGCACTATACTGTATTTCCTGTTTGTTATTTCATTACATTTGTGTTGTAGAAGAACTACATGAACTCAGAGAGAACCTTATATTCCAGCTGGACTTCGCTCATGCTGTCTCACCTCCACAGGAGAGAGATGCTGGGGAT